ACTATTTGAAGAACAGAACAAACACATATCGGTCAATGTTCATTACATAAACCCCGATACAAATAGTAAAACTATTTTATTATACAAAAGAAGCAACAACCCACAAGCACAACACAAAATCGATTTGATTAAATTGACTGATGATGTTAAATCACATTACGCTTATATCAAAAAATGATAAGTTAATGAGTAGTCACACTAACAAGATGAAGGCGAAGAAGTATCACTGTAGAACCTGCTCACATGGTTTCAAGACCGAAGAACTTTTAAAGAAACACGAAGAACAGGGATGTCTAGCAGTTGAGGGTCAAACAATAGAAATGCCAAAAGCAGGTGAAACAATAGAATTCAAAAACCATTTCAAGAAACTTAAAGCTCCATTCGTAATCTATGCCGACTTTGAATGTCGGTCAGGCTGTGTAAGTCAGGCTGCGTAAGTCAGTTTGAGTAAGTCAGCTGTGTAGTCGGCAACCGTTTTTCCAAAGAACCCTTCGCGATGCTTTCGGGAACTAATTTCACACAAGGAACAAAATATGTTTCCCCTGGCCTGGAACCGCTGTAACTTCTCGCGCGCCGAGGTCGCTCCATCGCCGGGCCGCTGCTGGACCATGTCCGGGAGCTCCGCCAGAAACGCATCTGCAGCGCTCCGCGAAGAACGCCGAAGAAACCGAAGCTGCAGAAGACAAGGCGTTCACCAAGGCCTCCACCAGCGCCGACTTTGTGAGCCATCCTCCCTGCGGAGATGCAACTGACACCCCCGCAGATCTAGCCACATCGACCAGAGCTGGACAGCGCTCTGAAGCCGACTTGAGCTTGAGCGACTCCAGCTTATTCTTCAAAAAAATCCGCAGCGTCGTGGCAAGGCTGTTGTCCGCGCGCAGCTGTGCCAGAAACACATCCGCCGACAGCGAAGCCATGGCCGATATATTTGACGAGCGCAGCACTTACCGTGAAACTATTTACGCACGCTGCGTCATGCCATGCGTCCAAACGCTAATTGCTCTGCTAGACGACTGAACTTCTTGAACCTACGCGTGCGCGTGTCAAACAAACACATCGGCAAGCTCATCAAGTTATCAAGTGCCCTGCTTCCACGATGCAGCCCAAGCCTACAACACTTGCACCTGCGTCTCAAAATGCGCCCAGAACCTGTCCGTGGAACGTGATGCTGCATGGTCCGTGCGCTACTGCCCCGTCCCCCGAAACCCTGCCAGTCTAACACAGCACGAAACACCGCGGCCTTGAAGATTTGCACGGCGCCACAGCGAGAGCGATCCGACACGCACGACCTCCGCAAAAGGCTCGTCGGCTAGTTTCGAAGGCTGCGCGTCTCTTTCTGTTTCTTTCTTTCCCTCTTTTGCAAGCCGGATTCGCGGGAGTGTACTTCGCGCGCTACTTTCTACTTAAAATTTGCTATTCTCTGGCCGGAGACGCGGAGCGTACTTCGCATACTACTTTTCCACTTAAAACTTGCGATTCTCAGGCCGGAGCTACGGGAGCGTGCTTCGCATACTACTTTTGTACTTACATGCGAGAACCACAGCGAGAGCGATCCGACACTCACAATCTCCGCAGAGGGTTCGTCGGCGAAGTTGACAATTCGCACGGCGCCACAGCGAAAGCAATTCGACACGAGCAATCTCCGCAGAGGGTTCGTCAGCGAGCTCTGAAATCCGCACGGCGCCACAGCGAGAGCGCCCTGACACGCACAATCTCCGTAGAGGGTTCGTCGGCGAGCTTTGAAATTCGCGCGGCGCCACAGCGAGAGCAACCCGACATGCACAATCTCCGCAGAGGGTTCGTCGGCCACGTAAAAAATTCGCACGGCGCTACAGCGAGAGCGATCTGACACGCGCGATCTCCGCAGAGGGTTCGTCGGCCACGGAAAAAATCGCACGGCGCCGCAGCGAGAGCGATTCGACACGCACAATCTCCGCAGAGGGTTCGCGGGCCACAAAGGAAATGCGCATGGCGCCACAGCGAGAGCGATTCGACACGCACAATCTCCGCAGAGGGTTCGCGGGCCACGTAGAAAATTTGCACGGCGCCACAGCGAGAGCGATCCGACATGCGCAATCTCCGCAGAGGGTTCGTCCGCGAGCTTTGAGATTCGCACGGCGCCACAGCGAGAGCAACCCGACACGCACAATCCCCGCAGAGGGTTCGTCGGCCACGTAAAAAATTCGCACGGCGCTACAGCGAGAGCGATCTGACACGCGCGATCTCCGCAGAGGGTTCGTCGGCCACGGAAAAAATCGCACGGCGCCGCAGCGAGAGCGATTCGACACGCACAATCTCCGCAGAGGGTTCGCGGGCCACGTAGGAAATGCGCATGGCGCCACAGCGAGAGCGATTCGACACGCACAATCTCCGCAGAGGGTTCGCGGGCCACGTAGAAAATTCGCACGGCGCCACAGCGAGAGCGATCCGACACGCGCAATCTCCGCAGAGGGTTCGTCCGCGAGCTTTGAGATTCGCACGGCGCCACAGCGAGAGCGCCCCGACACGCACAATCCCCGCAGAGGGTTCATCCCCCCAGCGCCCGCTAGACCCACCCCGGCTAAGAAAGAAGATAGAATTTAAAGGCTGCGAGCTTCGGCTGGGTCAGTAAATCTGCGTAAGCTAGGCTGTGTAAGTCAGGCTGCGTGAGCTAGGCTGCGTAAGTCAGGCTGTGTAAGCTACGTTGCGTAAGTCAGGCTGCGTAAGCTGCGCTGCGTAAGCTAGGCTGCGTAAGTCAGGCTGTGTAAGCTACGCTGCGTAAGTCAGGCTGCATAAGTCAGGCTGCGTCAGTCAGGCTGCGTCAGTCAGGCTGTGTAAGTCAGGCTGTGTAAGTCAGGCTGCGTTTGTCAGTTTGAGTAAGTCAGCTGTGTAGTCGGCAACCATTTTTTCCAAAGAACCCTTCGCGATGCTTTCGGGAAAAACCAACCACCCAAATAGGTTTGAGGCAGAACATGAGCTTGACGGGGCCAAGTGGGATTGCCAACCCTTGTAGGGTCGACACACCATGCGAGGTTCATTCACTTGCTCATGTCAATCCCAAATCCCAAGGAGGCGTTATGCTTTGGTTAGGCGTCAAGAAGATCAAAAACTGGTGAGGCCACAGTGAGATCAAGGCCTACACCAAGATCCTGGGCTGGCTTCTGAGGCAACAGCAAACGGAAGTCCTTGAGCGCGCCGCCACTTCAAAGTATCGATCATCAGCAACGCGCAACACGCTTGCGGTAGATCTTTCCATCCTGACGAAGGATCCGAAACTGGATCAGCGAAACGGTCAGAAATCTTACGATCGGATCAAAGCGTTCATCAACGCAGGCTTCAAGGGCATCGTCCTGAAGGCGTGGGGAGCAAGGCCGGTCGCATGTTTTGCGGGAGGCAAACAAGAATGCCAGGGTCGAACTTCTCGCTCGTCACGCATCCATGAAGAGGCCAAGCTGGGGAACCACGCAACCACATTCGGAGTTTTCAGATGCTATTTCGGCCATCAGAAGATCGTGAGGAACCCGAGTACCTCAAGCCGATGTCCGATTGCCTGGCACGCACACGTCCCTACATGAAGACGAAGGACCATCAAGAAGACCTTGCTTCTTCCCAAGAAGTGAGAAGGTCAGATATGGAGCCAATGGAGAGATCATCGCCATCACCATCGATCAGAAGAACAACTTCCAAGGCGCGACCCCGAAGACCAAAGACTATCCGCATAAGGATGAGTTGATGGGCGACACGTCCGCCGAGCAGGACTTCCATATGCGACAGTCGGAGTGTTCCACATCCATCCCTCGCACGCAGGGCGAATCGGCGCAGTAGAAGAATGGAAACTACATGTCCTACCCTTCGTCCCCGAGCACAGGCGCGACTTGCTCACAGGCAGCACACGCAGTGCAGGTCTACCGACCGATCTTGAAGTACTGACAGCAGCCATTTGTCCATTGCAAGATTGCTGGAGCAGCCTCCGCAGCGTGGGCAGATCGACAGACTGGGATATTCCTACTCTCCGCCACGAACGGATCATCCTCAGCTTTGACAAGACAGAGGAACAGCAGCAACGCCGGACACAGGAAGAAAGTACTTACGGCGAGGAACACAAAAGAGCATTTGAAGATGACACCGGCATGACCATCAATCATCTCCTCTGCAGAATGAGATGCTCATGAACGCAGGGACCGACAACGACTGCCATGCTCCTCGCGCGGCGCACATCAAGAGCAAGAAAGTCAACAACCAGCGCGTGAAGGCGTGGAAAGGTGACGGCCAGCAGGATTACAACAGGTACTAATGCCACAAGGGCTACCACCCCGCGCACGCGGATGGAAGGACTACAGCGAGAACTGGCACGAAGGATACGCGTCGGGCAAGTAGTTAAAGCAAGAGAGCAACAATCGGGATCAGCTTCTGCAAGCTATGATCATTCTCATATTCTAAACAACCGGTGGCGCAACAATATAATCGACCAACCAACATCCTCACAGTCCTCACACGATTAGTGCGTTGACTGCGTTGTCTACAAGACCATTCCAAATCGCGACATCAACTTTATCGTCTATAAGGGCACCTTTCCTGAAGCGAGTGTCGATAATTTCACAGGACACATCAGTCCTTATCTGGGTCAAGCCACTGGCTTCTTCACGCCAAACAGACACACAACCCTTTGACACAATCAGCTGCCAACCTGTTCAGGCAATTCTCACACGCAGAGTTGGCACAAACTTCGTAGATATCAGACAATCCGACATGTCCGAGCCACAAAAGTAGAGTGACCTTTTGAGATCTTCGAAGACGATCTAAGTCTTTCGGAAAGCTACGGCACATATAAAGTACGGTGTGCGGCGTAGAGCCTTGAGATTGCATTGCGCTCACCAGGAAATTCCACAACAGTGTCAACCAGACCTGGAGCCTATATGTATACCTACCTGGTTACATACATAGAGATATATGTATACATCTATATGTCTATATCTATATATGTATATTCTGGTTAGGGTTCTAAAATGCGCTCTGCCTGCCTCGGCAGCATAGGGCAAGGGTGCCAAGAGGTGCACAATCTCGTAGCCTTTCACCTGCACGACTGACTAGTGGAAGTGACGGGTCGATTCTCGCAGTTGAGTGATATGTTCACTCTGGTGTAGGGGGGGTGAATGGGTCTCAAAAGGCGGATTGTCGGGGCATAGTGTTAACTGAAACCAGGTAGCAGCCTTCACAATCTTTGGTGTTTCTGGGCGTGTGGCCTTGTAAGTAAAGGGAAGCTGACTCCACAAGCACACGGATTCAAAACAACGGTCCATGGTGGTTCAAATCGCCATCTGCGTCTTTTTCTGAAAGCACAATGCTTGGCTGAGAAGCCGGTAGCATGGTGATTGAAAGCGGTTGCCCCGTGCTGTGGTGCAAACATAGGTGTGTCTCAGAGTAGGCAAGCCTACACCTGCATTGGTTTAAGGAAAGGTCAGGGGTTCTAGGGTGCTGCAAGCATAAGTGTCGTTTGGCCCCAACAAACTCAGTTTGATTCCTATGGATGTCAAGGGCCCAAGAAGGCTGAGATGAAAATATCCAAAGAAGGTTCAGGCCTAATAGGGCCAACGGGGCTGTTTCTGGGCGGTTTGGCCCTTCAAAGCACTTGCAATGGTTCTCCATCTTTCTGAAAGGGGACGGTCACCCCTGTCAGCGCAATAAATGTGCGACAACTCACCAACACGCAAACGGCTTTGGCCGAAGCATCTTGCAGCAAAGGTAACTGCACATGCGATGCAATCGCTAGCCAGATTTGCGGCCATACCGTGGGTACCCTCCTCATTCAGTCAACACCGGCCTTTGTCATATTCTGGCCACAACCGTGCAAGCAAGATGATCGTCTCCCAACTTTGGTGTTCATGCACATGGTTCAATTTATGTCCGACCATTCGTAAGGATGTTCCAACCAAATGGCGCCGCATGTAAAGCCCTCGAGGAGCCAACCCTGCTTGCTGGCAATGGGTAGCAGGCAGGTTGGGGGTCGATGCAAAAAGAGCAAAGGGAGAACAACTCCACCTGGTCCGATTTCAAAAGTAACTCCACCCAAACATGAAACACAACACCCAACACTCATTGAAGCTAAGGCTAACTCTAATGTTTACGAGTTCCCAAGATCTTGAAGCCCCCCGCCACCAGATTCCCAAAGTACCCGGCGCGCCGTATGGAGGCGCCATTGCTGGGCCGCCAGGGCAGTGAGAGCGGGGCCGGCGGAGACCAGAACCACTGCGGCGCGGAACTCCAAACCTGTGAGGGACATGTCCAGGCGGATGAGCCTCGGGCTCTGAGGGTGGGAAGGGACACCTTTTTTCGGAAATGGAAATCAAGAAAGCCTGAATTGAACCCGCCTCACATGCGAGGCTTGGAAACTCGCATCAGGCAGGCCCCTTGGAACTGATGTGTAGAAGTCCCTTTCAGACATAGGGAGCAGGCATCGGTTTCACACAGAAATTGGAAAAGGGCAAACATTTAAGTCATATTCAAGACCCAAAGAATCAAACGGGCGAACATCCGCGTCTGAACACGCACAAGAATTGCAACCCGAGAAGAAAGGGTGTGTGCATAGTAACCTGGCAACCTCATCTTTTCACACTCACCCACGAAATGCTTCAGACTGGCAGGTTTTTGTTTCGGCATTCTAGCCATGCCTGGATCTTGCTCAAGCCTGGGGTGGCTCCGCCCGTCCCTACCTGCGTGACAGCAAAGCCTTCACAGAGCCACTGCCATAGTCCAGCCAAGCAAGTCTCTTTGGCTTGTTTGGAGGGGCTTCCGAGCCACTTCAAGGCAAGCCACGCTGTTGCAATGACCATGAAAAGCAGCACCACCAGCCAGCAGGCCATGATCGCCTTGCACCGTTCTTGACGAAGGATCAGAAGCCAGGATCCCCAGCTGTCCTTTTGGAAAAGCAGATGCCACTGCTCAATTGTGAGAATCAAAACTGAAACAAACGCCATTGTAGCTTGCAACCAATCTGATCCAGAAAAGGACACCTACACCAGGATCAAGAGCCAACAGGCCAATGGGCAACTTGCCTTGTTGGAAATGAGGACATAGCCAATGACGTAGTAGGACCTCCGCCATGGCTAGCTTTACCTCTCCTCTCCGCAAACATTGCTCTATGCGGGGAGGACACGTCTCGATTCGGGGCATTGCCATTTGCGGCAGCCAATAGTGCCTCTTTTGCTTTTGCAGACAAGGTCCGGTTTCCATCTCGGTCGGATGCTGCAACGGTACATGAGCCGTGGTCAAAGCCCTTGCGGGTATTTAACGGGGCGATGGTTCCCTTAAAAGGCGTACTTTCTTTGAGAATCGCGCACACGACAGCCCAGGCAGTTGCCCGTGCCAGGCCACAAGCCCAGGATCAGCTGGTTGGTGCCCATGCTCATGGCCACCCGCGCAAAGCCATCGTAGGACCTACCAGGCCAAAGAAACCTTTGCAAAGGCACCACCGTAACCCTCTTTGATTGCTTAGCAGTCACTTGTTTGGTTTTGGCGGCCGCAAACCTTGGCTTGGAGTGTAAACAAGACAGGATTCCCTACATTCCCCTTCCAAAACAGCACCCACAAAAAAAGAACTCTCCGCCCATGCCACGGAGTGGCTACGTGCTGTTCAAGCGGCTGCCAGTACTTCATTACCTGCTTGATGAGTTGCAAGTGCCGCAGCTCGTCAGGGTTGGTGCCTGAGCATGCACAAAGCTCAGCGGGAGAACACCGTGAATTCAAGCTTCCGGAAAACGCTTTTCGGAAGGGCAAACATCCTGACGCTGTGCGGTTTAGATTCTGAAGGAAAGGTCTAATATACAATGGGCAGTGCTTGGCTATTGCCAACGGAGTGATTTAATCACTCGGCTCACAAAGCCTGAATGCGGAGTAGCGCATGGATGCAAGTCGGGTGAGTCAGGTAGCCAATTAAACTCAGGGCGTCCTCAAAGTTGCAAACGTGGCTGCGCGTTATTCTCGACGCGCGCGGCTCTGTAAAAAGTCGGTGCAAGGAATACGCGCAGCGAAACTGAAATGCGATAGGCATTCAGCTGAGACACGCTTAATCATTTCTTCCAATTGCTTCTTTCTTGCTGTCAGTTGTTCCTTTGTTTGTGTTCCGTCTGGTGAGCATGCGTCACCTGGTGTGTTTCTTTCTTGTTGCGTCTAACTCCTTGCTGTAACTTTCGGTTCTGTTGCTTTCACGTTGCTAATTCTCCTTGCGATTGTTTCGCTTCCAGTGTCCTATTAAATTGTTCAAAACAATTCACTCTTGACGCGCCCATGAGTCCGAAGGCCGTAATATCGCGCGGTCTGTGGTGCTCTTCTTTCTACATTTCTATGACTTCTCGTAAGGATATTTTGAGATCGTGATTTAAAACACACACACTCAACAGGGAAAGAAACACAGTGAACCAGAAACCGCGGCCCTTAACCCTGCGCCGGCAGCAGTTCTCAAAATCTTCTTTCACACACACACACATCCTCGACCCAATCGGTCATGCCGATGGCAACACTTCGCGCAAGCAAGGTACCTGGTTGAGGGTCCAGGGTCGACATTCTTCATTCCCCCTCCCCCCGTGCGCGCAAAGAGGACGTGAAGTTGCATTGCAATTGGGCTGCAAACGGCGACATTCACAAGAACTTAGCCAAGACAGAACATGCTGCAAATAGTTTACTGCTTTTTAATCCGTCATCCCTGCACGCACATCCTCCAACTTTTCAGGACACTTTTGCGCGTGTATCTCATGGGTTGGAGTGCTTTTGTGGAGACGCCGGCTGCTTGCAAACCTGCTGCTGGGCTCGAACTGCGGCAAGGCTCACCTTGCGCGCGTTGAACCGGAGAAGAACCCTTCTTGGCAACAAATATCGCGCCTTGATTGTCTTCCTGCGACGCCAGATCGACGGGGCGATCAAGCAAGCGTTCCCAAAGACTCAGAGAGGGAAGGCCCTCCGGGCAAGGGACACCACTGACAAGTGCCTTTTGCTCCACCAAGCTTTAAGAACCAAGAGGCCAAGCGAGGTGGATTCCGCATCCCTTTCAGCATCAGCAGACAGTGCAAGATGAAGATCTTGCGGTTGATGCTGGATGGCGCCCACCAACCAATAGCGCAAGCTCGAGCGGTTACAAGGACCGCGGTGGCTAAGGAGGCTTCACGCTGTCAGGAAGTTCACCGGCTGACTCATCGTGTTTTGGATGGAGGCGATCCGTCGGGGCAAGATGCTTTCCGGATGGAGCGCCGTGATGGCAGTCCTGTCAGTTATAATTACAGCTGTGCGCATCAGACTCCTTGCGCCCAAGGCGTCATGGGCGTTGGGTGAGATCGTCGGCATATGCCGGTTTCTGCCAGCGTGTTTCCTTGAAGTAAGAGTTCTCTGGAAAAGGGCCCTTCACCGCTCATCTGCTGAAGCAGTTTCGTCTCCCAAAGATCGCCGGCGTCAGGATGCCCGTACGGCGGCGGGTCAAAAATAGGTACCCTAAATGGAGCCCTGGTAAGCGGAACCGAGAGTGGAATAATCTTGACCCATACCCAAACAGCGCTCGGGCCAGCCACGCTACTGGCGCAAACAGTTCAACCCACGTCTGGAACTGTCAGCCCACAGTCTGTGCGCTGTTTGGCTTGTGTAAAACCTGGCCTCTCGTTCTTGATGAAGACACGCTGCTTGCAATACTCTGTGATCTCGCTGAGTTCTTGCGCTCAGGCTCCTGGCCGTCTTCCATGAACGGTGTCCGGAGGTTTCTTCTTCACCAGCCTTCGCAAAGAACGGTTGTGAACTAGTCTAGCCTCTTGGTTTCACATGGCTTCGGGGGGTAGACAAAATTTCTTGAGTCACAAAGTTGACTGAATACTGGATTGGGACACGCCTTCTGATATTCATCGGCAAAATCTCAGTCTTGAAAATCTCCTTCAAATCGTACTGGTTGAAGTAGGCGCCAGGATCGGCATACCTCCTACGAAATCTTCTCTGCCAGAACGCGAGAATGCCTGGAGAATATGTGGTGTTTCCATTTTTTTCCGCAGCACGTGTGGGCATCTTGCGCCGGGCGTGGCTCAGCCCGCGAGAAAGCAGAGGGCTTGCTGGAGGCGCTGCATCAGCTGCTCGGGCTGGGCCTGCCTACCGAGCTCACTCTCGCCACTGCGGCACTCCGGACGGCAGAGCTCTTTTCAGCTTCACAGCATGCGCCAAGTCGTGAAAACGACTTGGAAGCAGTGCCAAAGAAGGTGCGCGCGAGAACCCCATTTTACCACCCGCGAGCTCCTGGCGGCTCTGCCTTTCACCTTCGAGGGCTTGCCTGCCAACGTGCAGGCCAACTGTGGCGAGCACCGTCCTGCGGACGAGGGAGAGAGACCCTTTGATACGGGCGCCATCAGCGTGCTCGCGAGCCGCGTGCCCCTTCGAGTCAGCAATGCGTCCGTGAGCGCAGAGCAGACGTTGATGCAGATGATGTTTGACAGGGTTCCCTTGCCGCCGCAGCCACCCAACAAAGAGATCTTCTTCCAGAGGCCAAACGCGGCGCGGGCGCCCAGCCGTGCGCGGCCAAACGCAAGCCACTGGAAACCCCGTCCTCTGCAGATTGAGGACGCTCCTCGAAGTGAAAGGCAAGACGCGGCGGAGTCCTCACTGGCGAGCTCAAGCCAGGGCCTCAACACGGCGAGCCCGCGGGCGCAAGAGGTCGCGCGAGCGGGGCCAGAGACGCAAGACACACGAGGCCACTCGCCCGCGGCCAATGCGCAGGCGCAAGCAGCCAGGCGTCCCAGGCGATCCTCCGGTCGCGGCCCGGAGGACGGCTTGACAGAAGCACGGTGAGGTTGCGGCCTCGTCGTTGCCGCGCGCCCCGCGGTTGCGACCGCAATGGGCGGGCGATCCTGCGCGGCTGCGGCCCGGAGGACTCCGTCGAGCGGCCTGTGCGCGGCATTTATACCTACAATGCACGAGGGTGCGTGCCGCATATATGTATATATGTTTGCAATTGCATTTGCTGCTGAAGAAACACGAGTGCTGCAACCAGCATCATTCCTTTTTGCACCATCGCACCCAAGCAAGTTTGGTGGCTGCTGGTCGTAGAGCTCCAGGTGGACATAGGAAAGCTGAAGTCGAATGCCACCATAGAGGAGCAACCAAAGCACCCCACCCCATGCCGATTGGATGAGAAACATCCACACTTGCAAAGGACGGTTCAGGTCACGAAGGACGAGTATGTTTGTCATAACCCTGGTAGGCGCTGCATGCCGAAGAAAGGGAAACAAGCTGGCCGCAGTTCGGATTGCGCCACGAACTTCACAAGAACATGCAACGAAAGCGTTAATGCCACCTCCTGCAAATAGAATTCAAGCGTAGCCTGCGACCTCGCCGAGCAGCAGGCCCCAAAGTTTTCGGTATTGGAAAGCACTTGCCGGGAAAAGAAGCTGCTCGTGCTGCAGAGACTCGAAAATCATGTCAATCAGGAACACCGCCTCAGTGTCAGTGACTTTCATATGTTGAACTCGAGCTGGCTGGCGGAACAAAGATTTGAATTTGCGCAACCTCAAGAAGAGCTGCTTCGAGTCATCACCAAGGTCTCGAGGAAGCAGTAGATCTTCACGCGTGCAGCATAGGATCTCACCCAACCTACCGGCACCATAGAAAGCTACCAATGTAACGCCGCACCAGCTACACCATCCGCGATTCCAAGCGAGCGCAGACATAGGTTTCACTAGGATTTCAGGGATGGGCTTTCGATGATCAACCACATGAAGGGACTCCCATTTCTGCACAAGGCTCCAGGCAGGAGACATGTAAGGCCGCACCGCTTCACACCATCTCTGGGCAGCAAGCAGAAGATGCCGCACGTTCGCCAGAAAACCCCCAGATTGCAAGAAAACATCAACATAGTGAGTGAAACCAACAACCAAAAGCTGTGGGAAGGAAACGAAGACCTCTGCAATGCGTTGATTACCCGAACCTCTTGCAGCAGCCTTGCTTCTAAGGCTGCCGTAGTTGCGCTGAGCAAATTAACTTGAAACAGCGATCCACCTCTCAGGACACCACCTCGGCGCGGTCCAGGGTTCGAAGCCTCACCTATTCTGCAGGAAGCAGACCTCGCACAGGCCGCGACTGAAAGCTTCTCTGGGCTACACCAGCCTTTGCCGACACACATCGCGGCAGCAATCGTCCTGCACAACCCCGTAGGGTGGGGTTCAGCAACAGCCGTCCAGGGCATTCGCTTCGCGCTGCACATGCCACGGAGTTGTAGGTGCACCACATCTTCAGACCAGCAAGCTTAGAGTTTGTTGCCAGACGCGTGGCCTTCCTCCAGCGGGTTCCAAACCGACAAAAGCAGGCCTGAAAACGTTGGGGGATGCGGTTGATCTGAACTTTTTCCAGACCACCAACTGGTATCAATTCTCTAGCCACCACAGCATTTGTTGATGCTCAAACTTTGTAACCAGGGATCTCATCCAGTCTGAGTGCGAGTTTCCTTCGCGAACCTTCTTCCGCATTGCCAAACTAAGCCCAGGTAGTCCACGTGGGAATCTACTTGACCTCACTGGAGGCGTCACCGCAACAGAAAAGCTGGCACAGATCGGCGCAGCCCCACAGGTGAGAAAGGCACCAAGGTCTATCAACTCTTCGATCTGCAGTCTGACATTGGAAAGCAGCAGGTCTTGAGCGGGTCCACCTGTCCAATCATAGCAGAGCACCCAAGAGCAGCCGTATC